GTGTTTCAGCGCGTTGTTATGGGAAGAGCGCATCCACAACAGGATCACACATTCTGACTATAGCACGCAATAACTGCGTCATTTTGTACATATATAAGTTGTAATATTATGTTTATGTTGTATTAATATTAATCTCAGGATGCATTTCCTTGAGTTAAATAAGCTGCCAGCAAAACGCTTCAGTTTACCGTGTTCATTCAGCTCTTCAGCTTCAGCACGTGCAGCTCAAACGGCTGCTATTTAAAACAGTGGTATTAATTTGTTACTTTTTCAAAATCATTGATACATTATTAATAATAACAACCACTTTTATTTTTCTCTTATTATTTTCATCAACAATATGGTTTAGTAATTAAAATCATTTAATTATTGTCCGTGCAGAGGCTATTCTGTTTTATTGATCTATGGCGCATTCATTTTGATTCTTTACACGTGTAATGATGTCCAGTGACTTGTTTGCATTATTTTATTTATTTGTAAGACTTTTTTATGACTAAATATGGTAATGGGAGAATAAAATTATTTTTAAAACATACACCGTTCAAACTAGGCTGCTTATGTTGAAGTGTTTGGGATGTGGGTTTTAATGATGAGACCTTTTTTGTAATCAGGCTCTCAAAAAGTATATAAAAATTTGGATATAGATTTATCGGCCAACATATCGGTTATTGGCCCTCAAAAATAAAGAATTATCGGTATCGGCCAAAATGTTCATATCGGTGCATCCCTAAAATCTAGCTAATTTTTAAGGCAATGATTAGGCTAATTACTGAATATTGAGTTATGCTACTTTATTTATTTTTTATTGTTTTAATGAGCCTATAAACAGCAGGCAGTAGGCTAAATGTTTCGACAGTATTTTGTCACGACCTCATTATGCTGTTTAATTCGGGCAGTGGCATCCAGTCATCATCTTAAAAGCTTTTTTTACTCAAATTTTGTGAAACAAATAATGAAAAATTAAACGAGTCGATAAATTAAAAAAGAGTGATATTATTTCCAGTTCATTTATCACACTTGAAATGGTGAAGTCGAGTTCATTGCACAAAGGAGCAATGACCAAACATTTGGGTAAACTGATTATCTAGGTATTGCATATAGAAACTTTCTATTTTTTTATGAATTCTAGTGGTTGTATGCTATGATGAGTCATTAGTCCTGAATTTCCATGTGATCATTTAAGCAGTTACTCACTGACTGCGTGGTGTCGTAGTCTACTGGACCAGGTAATACATTTATTCAAACTAAAGAATCAGTTCTTGTTAACAGGCACATACAGTAAACTAAACGCATGTCATATTCTCAGGGTCAGCACAAGTTCCTATGCCCTGCACTTAAAGAAGGCACACTACAAAGATGCAATGCAGAATGGCCCTATGTGGAAGTGCGGAGGTTGGCTGTACTGACACAAGAGGAGCAGAGTCATTTTGAAGAGACGATGGCTGTCCTTGCTGCAGCAGAGTACTGCGAACACAAAACAGTGAGTTGCTGGCATAAATCACAACATATATCCAAGAATAATTGCATTCTTGAATAGACTCATAAAAGCTAGCACTGAAGTTTTTTTGTAATTCCATGAACTGTTTGTTAACTTTATCTTCAGTGTCCTGGATGTCAGACATTCGTCGAGAGAGCCGACATTACCAACCTCTGTGTCATGTGCACAATCTGCACGGCTGAGAAGGGTCGGACATTTCATTTCTGCTGGCAGTGTATGAGACAGTGGAAAGGCCCAGGCCCTCGATCTGACCGCTGTAACAATCCCGGCTGCACTAATCCCGACATTGAAAAGTTGGCAAAATGTTGTTATACAACGCTACCTGAAGTCAATAATGTGAGCTGTCCCTCAATGCGAGCTTGCCCTACTTGTGGCATCCTTGTGGAGCATGACACAACAGGGTGTAAGAATGTCATATGTAATCGCTGCAGGGTAGAATTCTGCTTTGTTTGCCTGAAAGTCACTCAAGTATGCTTGCAAACAAGCAGTTACTTCATTGACTGTTCAGATGGGGTTGCGCCACGGCAGACTTCCATTCCTTCCTGGAACAGAAACTGAAAACCATTGACAAAATGATGTAAACGTGACATGATAAAATGTGTAGCTTGAATGCAATGTAAATTGCTTTGGATTAAAGTCTGTGCCAAATGCATAAATGCCATGTAGTAACCTATATTTAAATGTGTTTATTCCTTTTGTGTGTGATAAAAAAAGGTGAAGGCTTTCTGTCCATTGTTCTTATATTGACTGTTTTATACTTTCAATAGAATGGCATGTTCTTAACAATTTAACTATTTGCTTGCTCATGCAGAGGCATAAATGAGAGTGAATTTGAAGATGTTTTCATATTTTAGAATGGTCACATGGCCTCTTAAATTTTCTTCTGCCTTTCCAGGTGTGGCATAAATTGCTCTAACATACAACAATAAAATCAGTTAGCTGAGAAATATTGTGCCATGGTATATTTAATCAGTACTAAAAACAAAAATAGGAAAAAATGATAGAAAATGTAAACAACTGTTGCTTCCCAAGTACGTAAGGTAAACAAACAAAAAACAAGAAGACATTTCTCAGTTCAAGTATAGCCATGTGACAAAGATCAAATTTAAAATGGAATTTCCCTTGAAGTCTATAAGGTTTTGGCAATTGTAAAGTGAAAGTCAGCACACATCAGGTATGATGCCAAATTCAACGTTATGACAGATGTGATGATAGGCAGGCTTAATAAATAAAGGGATTAGAGCTGTCACAGTTTTGGTTTCTGTTACACTGAAACCAAAAATCCGTTTATCGGAGAACTGTGCCATTGGAAGATGAAGACATTCCTTTATTATTCTCCAGAATTTTCCTTTTAATAAGCCAGTGACTCAAATGTTAGACAGCTAAACAATAATTTTTTGACAAATGTTAAATGGATTATCCCTTAAAGCCCAAAACATTTATGCAAATATGAACAGATCAGATGTGGTTTCAGCAAAACTTAATGAAAAATATGAAGCAGTTAAATAATGCAATAATTGTCATGCAAAAGCTGAAATGTAAATACTGATAAAAACGGGTCATTCTGTGCATGGTAATCTTAATAACAAACAATGTGTTTTGCTCCTAATATGGTTCATCTTATACTGAAATCTTCAATCACAGAGGAATGACCGCAGGCCTTCTTAACCTCTTCGAAACCATTTTTTTTTTTAAGAAATCGCATTAACTGCTAGCTAACAGCAGTACATCATTTGAGAAAAGAGTGCTTGGACATACTGTATTAGGACTATGAAGTACAGACTAATAAAGCCCTCTAGTGTGTAAGTATGCAAGTAACCCTTAAAAGGTTGTTGTCAGCTACATATTAAACATCTAATCTGTAACAGTAAAACAAAAGACTTACATTTGGTTTGTAAACAAGGAACATAAATCCTTATAATTCCTACCATGATTGTGGGCAGAGAAGAAATCTTATGAAATAGTTGACCCCAAAATGAAATCTTATTTACTTATCCTAACGTGGTTGATGGGAACTGGGG